ACCAAACTAACCTCTATAGAGGTAACCAAACTAACCTCTATAGAGGTTAGTTTGGTTTTTGCAATATGATATTGGTGTATAACACCAATATCATATTGCAGTAATTGATTTAGACAGAATAAGTTACAAACATGTCATGGTTCAGTAAAGGTCAAATTAGCTATAGCACTAATTTTAAAAAGATAGATGTACTAATTTCTTACTTTTAAAAGACCTTGAGCAGAACTAAAACGCTTCGAAAGCGGTAGGAACTAAAAAAAACATCGAAGGTTGCAGACACCCGGTGCGAAAATCAATAGTGGTAGTAGGAGGTTTGTCTGTTTACCAATTAAGGGGGAGGGGGAGGTGCTCCAATATTTGCATTGCTGGAATATTGACTCCCAACTTCGGGGAATGGATTCAGGAGAGAACATTGTTAGAAATCATTGAAACATAGATTCAGCTTCTAAATAATATTCGCTGATGGAAGTTTTATAAATAAACATTTGTAACCGGATTAAGTGCCTATAATTATTTTTTATCTAAGTATTTGTACCCATGTAAATTATGTTTTAACATAAATTTAAAATATAAACTCTGGTCTTAAAAAACGGTCAAAACATAACGTAAATTTACTATTATTTTATCCTGGTGTCATTTTATATTCGTTAGTAACCAAATGAACTTATAGGATATTAATTTTAGCTATATATTAGTAAAATTATACAAAACAGAGTTCTAAGTTGGTATCTGTTGTTCAGTTCTCCGCTAATGGGTTCCGTGCCACTTTTACATGAAAACAAATGCCGTACGATCACATAAAGTTCTCATACGAAACCGACGCCGCACTCCCTTTATTACTATTAATAGAAATTTCCTATTCTTTTTACAAAATACACTGTTAATAGTATAATAATAATAATAATAACGCACACACTAATAGCCCCGAACTAGGAAAACTCTGAGTTGCGGATGACAAAAAACACACAACCACAACTTACACTCAAACTCACGAGAGAAATAAATTTAGGCTATCCCGACCTGGGAATTGAATCCGGGACCTCTGCGTGGCAGACTTGCACCGTAGCCGTTCGGCCACAGAGTTAATAAAATATTATGCTTCTTGAAGCCATAGCATGGTTTGACCAACCGCCTTGCAAGCAGAGGCCGTGGATTCATCCGGGTTAGCACCTCTGAGTATCTCGAATTCATGTGCGAAATTTAATTTGAAAATTACCATGAGCTTTTCGGTGAAGGAAAACATCTTCGAAAAACGTATGAAGTCCCTGCATTCTCTAGTCGGGGTTGGTAGCTGTAAAGGTATCTAACTGGGTGACGAAATACTTTCATAGATTTCTCATAGATGGCGCTACGGCTAAACACATAAAAAAAATCGTGAGGTCCGCTGGTTCGTTCCGTGGCTTAGTTGGTATAGCGTCTGGCACGGTAAGCTAGAAGACGTCGGTTCGAATCTGGCCGGATCGACGTATTCTGAGTATTCGATCTTTGTATTAATAATTATAACAAACTAGTGGAGTAATTTCACATAAACAAATAATTGAATATCAATTCAATAACAATTTAAATATTTTAATAAAGTTTATTATTTATATACTCAGCAATCTATTATTTCCTTTAAACCATACCCAGAATGTTGTTGTATTTATTGGAAATAGACCATGGTCAACCAAACTAACCATAGAAAGACGATATTATCGTCGTAAATATCGTAAAGAGACATTACTAACGGCGACGATTAAACCTAATCAAATTCAGAATTCTGATAAGTTTCTCGTTTTATCATATTCTTCAAACAATAGTGAGCGACATGAAATAGTAGTTTATGTGACTGTTACATAATGAAAGGCACTAAAAGATGAGATGTGGGTTTATGAAACGAGCCGAGAGGCGATTTTCATGAAAACATCACACGAGTGTTTTAATACCTAATTATGTACAGTTACATACACTGCTTTATCTATATACGTATTATAAGCTCTCTGTGACGTGTTCTGGAACCGCATGTTACGACTGGCGATGTGGTGGCAAATAAAAACTTTCGTCACGCATGTCACACAACCGTAGTTTTTATTTAATTCATAGACAAACAAGATTCGACCCCAACTATCATATCGTTCGATATCAAGTAACGTGTGAAATTTGTCAAAATTGTTTACTATTAACATTTCATTTTGAATTAAACTTCATCTCGACTGATATTAGAATTGAGGTCGAATGAAAATATTTTGTTTTTCAGAGATGTTCGAAATTTGAATGTATTAAATTCGAATTCGATGTTATCTTTAAGCTGGTCGTTCTTTATCTACACACATTTGGAGCATAGAGAGTTTATGATATGTGTGTACATAAACAATATAAATAACACAGCATATCTTACCGATGACTTATTTACTTACACTTGCTATAACAAAATAATACATTAAGTCAAACACACTTCTGTTCAACATAAAACCATCGTATTTAACCAGGAGAGAATGGGTGAGAAGGATTTAAATTTGGAAGGTGACAAAGATGCCTTAGAAGCAGTTTTAAGTCACATAGGAGAAATGGGCAGATATCAGAAATTGCTATTCCTGGCTATGGGACCACTTGGCTTCACGTTTGCCTTCGTCTACTTCATACAGATGTTTATTACTGCGACACCGCAGAACCACTGGTGCCACGTACCTGAAATGGAACATTTAAATGCAGAATTAAGGTACTTAATTTGAATTGTATATAATATAATATATTATATAATAAAAAAATATATAAGTTTTCCATATATATTTATATTATTGTAGCAGTACAGCTCCTTGTGCAAGAGTTCGTCCAGTAGGGCTAGCACGACAGGGCGCGACTTGAGAGAGAGCGACATAAAGCGCTACATACCGCAATCCTTGCATACAGATCTCGCGCTGTATGTCGCTATCGCGCAAGTCGCGTCCCGTCGTACTAGCCCTACAAGGAAGTACTGCCACCTTACCTTTTTTGCCGTCAAACAGATGTGAGTGTTTTGAACGGTAATGGTGCTGGTGAAATTACAGTCACATTACACTTCTTAACTTATATCTCAAGGTGACGGGCGCAGTGGCAGTGTGCCCCTAAGATCTTTGTGATATAAAGCTCTGAGGGGCACTGCAACTGCTATGAACAGACGTGTCGCTTACCACATAACAAAAATCTCCTACATTTGAAAAGCATCAAGTGTGAATTCAAATATTGTCTATAGTATCATTTCAATATGGTTGTATATGTTATTACAATGTACCTAAGTAAAACGCAAGTCATGTCTGCCTTTTAAACGCTTACTAACATAAAGTCGAGGTTATAGAGAATGACCGCTTTTGAACACAAGCGGGTTCCAAAGATTTTTACATGACGTACGAGTATTACACCGTATTACACAAATACAGAACTCATTACGTATTTTCGAAAGTCGAAAAGAAGCTTAGACGGTACGATATGCATATGAAATAATGATTTAGTAATAAACAATATTACAATATACAGAAGCCTCATGCTCATTGGTTGCGTATATATTGATAACCATCCATATTAGTTTCTTTGACAAACTGAGTTATAAATTATAATAGGGTATTCATGCATGGTCAAGTGACTTGCATGATAGTTTTCATGTGTCGCTATCTTTTGAGATCCCAGGTTAGACAGCCAGTCGAGTCAAGTACAAAATCGACTTTTCTACATTTTCTCGGGTGTAAGTGTTTGTGGTACCGTCGTTATTTCCAATCACTTTGGGATCAGAGCAACGTTTGTGATGTTGTCTAATGTTTATATATTCAATTCTAAAACACATTTTTCGGTAGTTCCAACTCGAAACAGAAAACTACTATGATTATGTATCGTATAGAAAAACAAGTAGATATCAATTTACAACATATTTACAATGATGTCCATGTAAATAAGGTATAAATTCTTTCTGGTTCCAGACGAAATTTATCAATACCAAAAACTTTAACAGGGGATTACGAGCGCTGCTTAATATACAATGCTAATTGGAGTCAAGTGCTGGAGACCATGACGCCGCCTCACCCAGATACTCCGACGAAACGTTGCCCACATGGTTGGGAATTCCATCTAAGTGATATTCCGTTTCACACAGTTGTCAGTGAGGTATGAGACTAAATATCAAAAGGTGTCATATTTGAAGGGAAAATATAACTTATTTAATAATTTTTTTTTTCGAAGAGAGGCTGGGTTTGTGAACACGCTAAAAAAGTGCCAATTTCGTCGGCAACTTTTTTTGCGGGCTCCATTGTTGGAACGCTTTTGTTTGGATCGTTAGCAGACGTGTTTGGTAGAGTACCCGCTTTGATTGGTAAGCTATTGAATTTACTACATATATTTTATGCATTGAATCGTCACCGTCAATTAAATATTACTGTGATTCCAGGAGCAAATTTAATAGGATGTTTCGGAGGAATTGCAAGCGTCTTCACAAATAGCTTCTGGGATTATGCTCTTTGCCGGTTTCTCGTTGGCCTCTCTTACGACAGCTGTTTTATGATGATGTATATTTTAGGTAAGCCTTTGTAAAGTAATTCAGATAAATTTAAATTGTTATAATTATATAGAACACAATGAAAAGTTCATTCAATCTGACAGGACTCGAACCTACGTCTGTAATGTCAATCTAGAGCAACCGCTTTAACAACTGAGCTACTAATCGAGTCAGCAGACCTTATGGATTCCTTTATGTATTGTAACAGATCTTTGTTTTTGGTTTTTACGGCTTTTTTTGCCGAAGCGCCACCTGTCAGAAATCTATGAAAGTTTTTCTTCACTCAATTAGGTGCCTTTACAGCTACCACAGGTTGCCTAGAGATGTCGCTTTTTTAATTGTAATATTGGCTTTATTGAATATCATAATGTTTCCTGCCACGAAATTGCTCCACTAATTTGTTATAAATATACAATGATCAAACACAAAGGAAATTCCTTCGATCTGACAGGACACGAACCTATCTCTGTAATATCAACCTAAGGCAACAAAAAATTTAAAATGCTTAATTATATTCCGAATATACAGCACTGGAGTACGTAGGATCTGGCCATCGAACTTGGGTGGCGAACATGTCTATAGCCATTTACTTTGGAGGCGCATGCATGGTACTACCATGGTTAGCAATCTGGATTTCCGACTGGAGAAAACTGGTGCTGGCGACATCACTGCCTATGCTGATCGTCCTTGCTGCGCCTTGTGTTGTGCCTGAGAGCGCCCGGTAAAAGCAAATTAAATAAATTGTATTCGTAATTATTAAAATTCATAAGATCTACATTAAACTTTCTTACAGATGGTTGGCATCACGACGGAGAACAGACAAAGCCCTAGCAGTTTTGAGGAAATTCGAAAGAGTAAACAAAAGAAAAATTCCACAAGATTTATTAGATGAATTTATTGTAAGTTCCCGAAAGTCACAATAAAACTAATACTTGCGTACTAAGACTATAGTTGTTTCTATAATCTTAACAACAAACTTTCAGCTATCAACAAATCGGCGTAAGACATCTGACGAAACAGTGACCGTGACTACTCTATTCACATCTCCTCGACTTCGCACGATGGTGTTACTCATGGTAGTCTCTTATATATCAATTGCCATAGTCTTTGATGGCTTGGTCCGTATGTCTGAAAATATGGGTCTGGATTTTTTTATCACCTTCACTCTAGCTGCTGCAACAGAGATACCTTCTCTTGTTTTGCTTACGTTCGTTCTTGACAGGTACCTATCGATCAGTTTTGAAACGCAAAAAATATTTCTAGCCGTAATTCACACTTCCTATGCTTACACATAACAAATGTTTTATTTCAGATGGGGTCGGCGATTTCTCATGTGTGGATCCGTTACGTTCGCTGGTGTGATGACTGTAATAGCAGCTTTTGTACCTAAAGGTAATCGAAAGACAACAAATTACTTATTTCGCCTTTTAATGTAATGGAAAATAAAAATGTAAACCGAAGATTCCCAAAGTGGTGATATCGACCCCCAAGTGTCTACTCCGAGGGGTATCATCAATATCAGTGAAAAACTACGGCGTATATGAGACGTTAAGGGTCCAGGAGAATGGGACTCTTTTTGACCAAATTTTTGACTTGCCATAAATGGAATGATCCAGGTTACACAGATTGATACCTATGTAAACTCATAATAATTTCTTTTAATAGTCATACATATATTTTACCTATGAATGACTGAAACATTTTACAATAAACATTGTATTCGGTTAGTAAATGTATAAAACGTAACAAAAATTTTTTATAAAGCGTCTCATGAGCATTGTACCAGCTGTCAATCACACATTTTAATTTAATGAACTTGTAAAAAAAATCACTATTAAAAAAGGCTGAAGGTCTACGCAAACGCAAAAAAAGGCACGTGGCATACCAGACAAAAAAGTTTGGGAGCCTCTGATATAGAAGAAGGCGGCACCAACTTGCCTAGAAATTATGGTTACTTAAACTTACTTAAACTGCAATCATAAATTCCTTGTTAAGTCAATTTTCTGGGTTTTATTTTCACACAGGTTTACCACAAGCAGGTTTGGCGATTTGTGCACGGTTCTTCGTAAATATGTCATTCAACACGATAATGCAGTGGTCAACAGAGGTGCTGCCTACGCCTGTACGCGCCTCTGGCACTTCTATAATGCACGTCAGTGGTTTCGCTGGTGGTCTGATCTCACCATTTGTGGTTTATTCCGTAAGTTATCGCATCTTAGGTGGACCTGTAAAAACTAGAACCCCACCTATCTGCATTATCTTACCTCTTAAATGTCTTTCTCCAGAAATGAGAGAAATGTCCTCTACACTATTTTCGCACTCTTTATACCTATAGCCCTTTCACTCTCGTTCCTCTATTCTAGCTACATTTGACTTCAGTAGTCTTAAGACAATTCAAACAACTTAACGGCCTTCTGCCGGCCTCGGTGTGGCTTGCACACCTGTTTTCATGGTGTCGCCATCCCGGGTTCGAGCCGGGTAAGTGTAGAAAACAAATCACTTTCCTATATTGTTTTCGATCTGGATTTTTGTGACACCGTTGTTTCCGATTTCCATAACTCAAGTGCTTTAGCTACTCACTTTAGGACCAGAGCAACGTATATGACGTGGTCTAATATTTATTTAAAAAACAAACTTTTCATTTTCTAGGAACGAATGTGGGCACCGCTCCCTCTGCTAGTAATGGGCATTACGTCCCTGCTAGCATGTGGTATGGGTATCATGCTCCCTGAGACTATGGGCCGTAGATTACCCCAGACAACGGCTGATGGGGAATTGCTTATCAACAATTATTCTTTATGTGGGTAAGTATAGTAAAGCTATATATTTATGTAGTCCGGAAAAATAAACACAACGACTGAATATTTTACCTATTATTTCGGGCTGATACAACTGCTACTTTCTTCTAGCTCTAAACTGGATGCCGAGGATAGTGACACTGTTAACGCGTAACACCATCAAACGGCATCGCGATTAAACTAGGACCACGGCGCGATGATGATGATGATATAACTTGCTACAATACGCATTGTTTTTTTTAATAATTTTTAAAATAAATGCATTGCAGTCAAAGTAATCAAAATAATTCGTTGAAGATTCCATTATAATTCCCAATCAAAGGAAAGAAAACCTACCTGGCTGCCTACGGGCAAACATCAACATATTGGACCTTCTTCGATCCTCACGGAACCAGCATCAAACGGTCAGGCCAGTTAACCTTACTAATTCCTGTCCCAATCCCAAGTTCAATTGTGCTAATATCGTGTTTCGTCAAAATTCCCGTGTGCATAATATATGGTTGCATCATCCGATATCTACCTTCGCGTGTGAGTTTTTGTGTCGCTTCGCGCTGCGGATAAACTGTAAGTTTACTTTTGTTTCCGTAAACCACTTTATGGGAGGCAGGAGTGAAATCTTGCAAATTTCACATCCGACGTGTCTTAGGAAATGCAAATTTAACCTATGAAGAGTTTAGTACGATATTAGCGCATTTTGAAGCCGTTTTGAACTCCCGTCTGATGTCTCCTTTATCCGCAGACTCCAATGAGCTTCGTCCCCTTAGCCCAGCACACTTCCTAATTGGCCAACCGCTCACCACGCCAACGGCAGAAGACGTGACGTCCACGCCTCCTCATCGCTTGGCGCGTTATGAGCGCGTGAAGCAAATGTGGCAACAATTCTGGCAGAGATGGTCCAAAGAGTATATATCAGAATTACAAGTCCGGACAAAATGGCAGACTACAAAGGAAGACATCAAACCAGATACTCTAGTACTTACCAAAGAAGATAATCTGCCACCGCTCAAATGGCGGCTAGGAAGAATGCTACACACATTCACTGGCACGGACGGTATGTCTCGTGTTGCAAACATCAAAACTGCAACCGGGACGGTTCGTCGGGCATTCTCTAAAATATGCCCACTACTTCGTGAATCTGATGACTAAAGGGTGAACTGCACCTTACGCATTCACTGCTCGACAAGCTCACCATGTTGCCACATCGTTTCCATCGAGTCGTCTCTTCGTTGGAAGCAGCCAAAGCTTCCATGGCGGGCGGCTTATGTTAACGCATAACGCCATCAAGCCACATCGCGATCAAACTCGGACTACGGCGGGACCAGGCGAGCGGCGCGAGGGGAAATCAAGGGTCATCATTCGACGATATAACTTGCTACAATACGCATTGTTTTTTTCTATATAATTTTTAAAATAAATACATTTCAGTCAAAGTAATCAAAATAATTCGTTGAAGATTCCATTATAATTCCCAATCAAAGTAAAGGAAGGAAAACCTGTCTGGCTGCCTACGGACAAGCATCAACAGACACAAAAAGACGATGTAAACCCTATGGTAAAAGCGTACAACTGCAGTAAATGTTATTATACTATTTAATGAAGTAAGTAAAAAACGTTTTAATGAAATATGGTTTATGTTTTTATTATAAAGCTCATGCCACCCTCGTAAAGCATCTGGATAATATTTGATTATCCCATAAACACATACAGCACAGAACATACACACCGGTCGTTTTAAACATAGTATGTATATATTACAAAACAACAATTCATCACGCAATAAACCAACGAGCAAACAGTATGATTGCATAATGGGTCGAGTCAACAGGCATTATGCAAAGTTTGGAGAAAAACCACGACAGTGACAGATGTTGCCGGCTCAGTAATAAATCGAGCAGTCGCCAAAACTTAGCTATCAACGCCGAGACGATTTGGTAATGTTTGAAGGCGTAAACAAAATATATCTAAAAATATCTTGAATTCAGCTACATTACTATTTTGGACGTTTTACGAAGTTTACAATTTTATTTTCTACTGTTACTTACGGTGTTTATAGGTACATTGTTAAACTTTTCATATCATGTATTAATTTCATCAACCCAAGCCTTGCACTCCAGCACCAGTTAATACAAAATGTTAAAACACAACAAAAAAGGTGATTTTTTTAAACTTTTTTTACTAATATGTTGTATTACAGAAATTATACTGAAACTTATGCACAGTGATTATTTATCACGTATTTTCTTTTGCTATTTCAACTTTCATAAGCAATGCAAATCCTAAGCTTGGAAATATAATTCATAATAACAGATGACAAAATAAGTTCCGATAAACATAGCAAAATCCTAAAAGGTATATTGCGATAAGGGTGAATTGTGTTACTTATAGTAAAATTCGCAAACTTTCTTTTACCTTTTTTCCCGACAAAGTTGGTGCAGTCGATTAAAAGTTTTGACGAAGATATTGGAAAGTGTGTCGGATGAGAAAAAATACTGTAAAGGCAAATTATACGACATGAAATAAAAAAAGAATAACTTTAACAACAATATGGCACCCTCAATTTGACATCTCTGATTTGCTTCCAACCACAGAACTTACTAGAAATGAAGTTGGAAACCAAGAACAGTAACTTATAAAATATAGATTATTGTATTTTGCTTCTTACTTATTTCCCATTTATTTCTATACATTTAATGTTGTATATTTTAACAAAACAGTTCTGTCCGAATCTCGAGACACGACATTTAAAAATGTCGGGATAAATAGGTAGGTATAGAAATATTAACTTGTTAATAAATTGACGAAAAGTTAAGAGTTCCTGATAGTTTTTAATATTAAAAAATACGAGTACAAGAAATTTTTGAACTGATTCCAGTTCAATTATTGGAATGGAATTGCATGATTTAATTCCGCCTTCCCCTTTCCATCGCCGGAGCATTCCACCGCTTTGTTGTGGATATTCCAGGGTTTCGCACGAAACGTTTCGTTTCCACGTTTATATAACGAACGGCTGCTAATGGAATTTCCTGCCTGTCTGGAATAAGTCTTATTCCCTGAACGCTATAACTTGGGCTTTTTCAGGGCGAGAGTGAATAGACATTCCATCCATCGACCTCATCGTCACTATATCAGATGAGAAGACGCACTTATTTATTTTATAAAAAATAAACTATGGTAAAATTGCATTGTTGTTAAAATTCGCAAAAATATCACATATTCAATGTTTTTCGCATGTCCTTGATAGCCGATTGACCCGTCTTTTAAATGTCTTTATCCTTCTTACACTAGGAAGACACTATTAAAGCCGTAAATATTTATCGACTTTTTATATTTTCGCGATTTCCTTATTCGTGAAACACGTCTGCGGGCTGGGAATTCCACTCATTTGCCGTTCGCCATGTAAATGTGGAAGCGTAACGCTTCGTGCGAATCTTTGGAATATCCACACATAAGCGTGGAATTCCAGCCTGCGTCTAATCCCCCAAAAAGGCATTCCATTTGGCATCCTAATTGAGAAGGCGGAATTCAATCATTCAATTCACCAGTACTCTCTTACTCTTCAAAACTGGAACGCACTCAGATTACTGCTTGGTGTCAGAATAGGTAAGGTAAAACGTGGTCACGGCTGGCTAAGTATTTTTCAAGGGATCGAAAATGAGATGCCATAAAATAATAGATTTCCGTTTATTCATAATTTATATTAAGGAAAATCTCGATTCAATCATTATCCAACTGAGATTTTACATTCGAAATATGTCATCCTTATCTTTATTTCTCATACAAAACTCCGTAAAAAAAGGACGCAACATAATTCCACAGGAAATCGTTAAGTAAAAATGTTGTAATGTAACAAATACGCTGTGATTAACAAATTAATAATTCATTGCATTTACATGCAAAATAGGCGCCTAAGTGTCGAGTTGCGAACACCAGCCCGTCACACCATACCATCAATGGCATATCACAGAGTAAATTAAATGAATAATATACCATGGTCGGAATAGGTGTTCTAAATGAGTAGATAAATGTCTACATACAGATACGAAGAGTGGTTAAAACCTTCATAAAAGGATTTCTGGACATAGCTTTACTGCATCGTAAGATAAAACTGCTCACCTAAGCAGCTGAAAGCGCGTAGTAGTGAGGCGCCATGTAAAATAATGTAGTTGATAACTAACCTTTCGTGAAAAGTAAATATTTTTTATGAGCTACAAATACCTTACAAATTAAGGAAGAATTATTTATTCTACCTCAATTTAGTTTGTAAGTCCTAATTTCAAAAATTTATAAGATATCTGCATAAATGATACTTACCTCAAAAGAAACAGCAATAATCAAACATGTTTTTAAAAATGTATGTCAAAAAACCAGTTCTGCTAATTATTCAAAATTGTCGTAAACTTCAAACGTCTGCGAATTAAATTTCACACAAAAAATAAGTGATTTATTTTAACCGGTCATTATTAACAAATATTTTTTAAATTATTGGCTTTTTCTCAAAAAATTAAAATTTAAGAAAAAAACACTTTTAGACCAAGAAATCCATGCCTGAAATGCTTCTAAATAATCTATACTAGCTTCACCTTAATCTGTATAATATATGTACATAACAAAAATAACGATTAGGTCACGGAATTAGCACACTTCTAACACTATTGGAGGAATTCAATGTTTATAATAATACTTGCAGCACTGGTACAATTGGAATAAATGTCCTGAATAGTTGAGAGTTTTAACATCTGAAAAATGCAAAACTTAACACATTGCTCTAAGTAATATAAAAGGAACTCGTATAAAAGCATTTACAATATCCACATTAGTTGAAACAAGCCTTTGTTTTTAGCTCATAAAAAATATTTACTTTGATGAAAGGTTACTTATCTACTTCATTTTTTACATGACGCCACACTTGAATTTTAATCAAAGGATTAATCAATATCTCACACTTCGTAATAGCCAAACAGCTTATAATGCTACCAGAGTAGCGATTTCTAGTGCGCTCTAGGCTAACGGAGACTAAGCTTAGCTAACAAATTGGCGACATAATTAAGGGATCTCATTCAGGCACGTGTTCCTTCGAGATATTACCGAGTATCTGATTTAGTGCCGGTCAACAAACGCAAGCATTGCCGTATTGACATACTCATAAAGTCGGCCCTTTATGGACAAACAATGGTGGAAGCTCCTTTTCAGATTTAACGTATACGACACGACTGCACGGTTTAAATACAGCTGGTTTAGATTTACGAATTTTTATTGCAGTATATTTATTATTTATGTACGAATTAGTTATGCCACACACACAATCACAACTTTCCCCTCACACAGATACATTCTTTGAAAATGACTTCAGATATTCGTATTTCAAGGAATTTCCAACTCCGTATTTGTACCTATATGTTGATAAATGAGTAAGTACTTTTTTAAAATCCTCGCACAGGAAACCCTGTGTCGCGAGTGCCATGGACACACACATAGACAACCACAAATTACACTCAAACTAAACACGAGATAAATCGTTCCGGCCCAGGAATCGAACCCGAGACCTCTGCATGGTAGACCAGCATGATACTGTTTTTTTTATAAATATCAAGTGATGGGACGAAAAAGTCGTGAGCCTGATGGTAAGCTACACGCCTGTCCATAACGATTGCAGTGCCACTCAGAGCTTTAAATTGCAAAGATCTGAGGGGCACAGCCACTGTGCCCGTTACCCAGAGACATAAAGTTGACAAGTCTCATGTGCCTGTAATTTCACCAGCACCCTTACCCTTCTAAACCGGAAGGCAGTAATGCTATCAATAAAATAAATAAGAAATACGTAAGGTGGCCGTGCTTCACTGGACGAACTCTTTCACAAGGAGGTCTACTGCTGCGTTTGGCCACAGAGGCAGTTTGTTTCGGAGGCACTCCTTTCTTCTGTCATCTGACTTAGGATTTTTATCTATGTAATCCAAACAGAAAAGAGCTATTTTAGCTACAAATAGTATTTTACGTTGCTTCGTAAAATACCGTAAATATCGAGATATTATTGGTTAGCGAAACACTTTTTCTCCGCTTTGTTGCAGTCGGTGATGGGCTTTATAGAAACACGTCACACACCAAATTTTATAATGCCAATAAAGTTTGACACGTACGAAAATGGAGTCGCATAGAAAAGTGTAAAGCACCAGCAACCAATCGTGCACTCGTGCGTGCTTTAATGAAGGATACTGTATGGTCGGTTTATGTGGCCATAAATTTTCCAATAGCTCAACATCTATCTCCCACACACCTTTCAATGTTTTTATAATGCTTTTAAAGTTTAAATATGAAATCTTACAAAGTATTTACAAAAACTGATATCTACATAATTCTGAAGAATGACCATTGTCAATGAATTCGTTGTGTTACACTGTTGAGATTATTAACTATTTGATAGAGAATTTGAAAAGGGTTTTAAACGTGAGTAGCGACGAAGGGTTGAAGGAAATACCCTTAGCGAATAGCCGTATACAGAAGAGAGAAGGTCGTGCTATAGACGCAGCCCTATTGAAATTCTACGGGAAG